GAAGGGTCCCAGGTTCAATTCCGGTCAAGGGCATGTACCTTGGTTGCAGGCACATCCCCAGTAAGGGGTGTGCAGGAGGCAGCTGATCAATGCTTCTCTCTCATTGATGTTTCTAACTTTCTATCCCTCTCCCTTCCTTTCTGTAAAAAATAAAAAATAAATTTTTTTTTTTAAAAAAGCCCAGAAAAGAATCCAAGAGATGCAAATCAAAACAACAATGCGGTACCATCTCACACCTGTCAGAATGGCCAACATCAACAAATCAACAAACAACAAGTGTTAGCGAGGTTGCGGAGAAAAAGGAACCCTCGTGCACTGCTGGTGGGAATGCAGACTGGTGCAACCACTGTGGAGAACAGTGTGGAGTTTCCTCAAAAAACTAAAAATGGAACTCCCATTTGACCCAGTAATCCCACTCCTAGGAATATATCCCAAGAAACTAGAAACACCAATCAGAAAGGATATATGCACCCCTATGTTCATAGCAGCACACTCTGCAATAGCTAAAATCTGGAAACAGCCTAGGTGCCCATCAGCAGATGATTGGATCAAAAAACTATGGTACATCTACACAATGGAATACTATGCTGCCATAAAAAAGAAGGAATTCTCATCATTTGCTGCAACGTGGATAGAACTAGAGAACATCATGCTGAGTGAAATAAGCCAGTCAATAAAAGAGAAATATCACATGACCTTACTCATTTACAGATATTAAAGAACATTATAAACTGATGAACCAAAAGTCAGATATAAACACAGTAAATCAACAAGCATACTGTCAAATTACAGCCGGGAGGGTAGGGATAACTGGGAGAGATAAGAGATCAACCGAAGCACTTGTATACATGCATATAAGTACAACCAATGGACACAAAATTCTGGGGAGAGAGGGTATGTATGGGGGGGGGGCAATGTTAAAATATGTACACAGATAATAATTTAATTTAAAATAAATAAATAAATAAATAAATAAATAAAATAAAAAGCCCAGAAAAGGAAGGAAATAATAAAGATCAGAAAAGAAATGACATTGAGACCAATAAAATAAAATAAAATAAAAATACAAAAGATCAATAAAACCATTTGGTTCTTTGACAGGATAAACAAGATTGATGAAACTCTAGCCAGGCTGACCAAGAAGCAAAGAGAGAGGGTCTAAATAAACAAAATAAAAAATTAAAGAGGTGAAGTAACAACCAACCCCACAGAAATACAAAGGACTAGGAAAAATTACTATGAACAACTCTATTCCAATAAACTGGACAACCTAGACAAAATGGACATATTTTTAGAAAAACACAAGCTTCCAAAACTCAATCAGGAAGAATAAAAAAATCTCACTAGGCAGATAACTACTGAAGAAATTGAAGCAGTAATCAAAAATCATCCAGCCCTAGTCTGGGCTGCTTTACAGAGGAGTTCTACCAAGCATTCAAAAAAAAACTAAAACCTATCCTCCTCAGACTATTCCGAAAAATTCACAAGGAAGGCACACTTCCAAGCTCTTTCTATGAAGCCATCACCCCCCTAATCCCAAAATCAGATAAAGACACCACAAAAAAAAAAAAAAAAGAGAGAGAGAGAGAGAGAGAGAGAGAGAGAGAGAGAGAGAGAGAGAACACACTACAGGCCAATATCCTTGATGAATATATATGCTAAAATCCTCAACAAAATTCTAGCAAATCAGATCCAGCATTACATTAGAAAAATCATACACCATGATCAAGTGAGATTTATTCCGGGATGCAAGGATGGTACAATAGCCACAAATCAATAAATGTGATACATCACATAAACAAACTGAGACAAAAATCACATAATCATATCAATCGATCAAAAAAAACATTTGACAAAATCCAACACCCTTTCTTGATAAAAACTCTCAGCAAAGTGGGAATAGCAGGATCATAACTCAATATCATAAAAGCCTTACATGACAAACCTACAGCCAACATCATATTCAATGGGCAAAAACTAAATTCATTACCCCTAAGAACAGGAACAAGACAGAGATGCTCATTTTCATCACCCTTGTTTATACTGGAAGTGTTAGCCATAGCGATCAGACAAAAAGAAGAAATAAAAGGCATCCAAATTGGAAAAGAAGAAGTAAAACTGTCCTTATTTGCAGATGAATGGTAATGTATATAGAAAACTCCAAAAACTCCATCAAAAACACTACTAGACTTAATAAATGAATTTGGCAATGCAGGAGTATACAAAATCAGTACCCAGAAATCTATGACTTTTTTATAGACCAACTATGAACTCACAGAAAGAGAAACTAAAAAAACAATCCCATTTACCATTGCACCAAAAAAATTAAGATACCTAGGAACAAACTTAACTAAGGAGATAAGGAAAACTATAGGACATTGAAAAGAGAGGAAAACATAAACAAATGGAAGAACATACCATGTTCATGGGTTGGTAGAGTCAATATCATTAAAATATCCATACTATCCAAAGCAATTAGATTTAATGCAATCCGCATTAAAATATCAATTCATAGACCTAGAACAAACTCTCCAAAAATTCATCTGGAATAAAAAAAGCCCCAGCAATCCTGAGAAAGACCACCAAAGTTGGAGGGATAACAATACCAGATAGATCAAGCTATACTGCAAAGCCATGATTCTTACCTGCCTAGTACTGGCATAAGAACAGACATATAGACCAAAGGAATAGAATCCAGAACCCAGAAATAGACCCAAGCCATTATGCTCAATTAATATTTGACAAAGGAGGCAAGAGCATACAATGGAGTCAAGACAGTCTCTTCAATAAATGGTGCTGGGAAAATTGGTCAGATACATGCAAAAAAATGAAACTAGATGACCAACTTACCCCATACACAAAAATAAACTCAAAATGGTTAAAGGAATTAAATGTAAGACAGGCAACCATAAAAATCTTAGAAGACTCCATAGGTAGCAAAGTATCAGACATATATTGTAGCATTATATTTACCAATACAGCCCCTAGGGCAATGGAAACTAAGGAGAAAATAAACAAATGGGACTACATCAAAATAAAAAGCTTCTGCACAGCATAAAACAAACAAACAAACAAACAAACAAAAAGAAACAAAAACCATCAACAAAACAGTGGCATGGGATAACATATTTGCTAATGCAATTTCTGATAAGGGTTTAATCTCCAAAATTTACAGGGAACTCATACAACTTAACAAAAGGAAGATAAAAAAAAAATCCAATCAAAAAATGGGCAATGGACCTAGATATTTTTTGAAAGAAGACATATAGAAGGCTGAGAAACATATGAAAACGTGTTCAAAGTCACAAATCATCCAAGAGATGCAAATCAAAACAACAATGAGGCACCATCTCACACCTGTCAGAATGGCTATCATCAACAAATCAACAATCAGTAAGTGCTAGGGAGGATGTGGTGAAAAGGGAACCCTGTGCACTGCTGGTGGGAATGTAGACTGGTGCAGCCACTGTAGAAAAGAGTATCGAGTGTCCTCAAAAAGTTAAAAATGGAACTCTCACGTGACCCAGTAATCCCACTTCTAGGAATATATCCCAAGAAGTCAGAAACACCAATCAGAAAGGATATATACACCCCTATGTTCATAGCAGCACAATTTATAATAGCCAAGATTTGGAAACAGCCTAAGTGCCTATCAGCAGATGAGTGGATTAAAAAACTGTTATACATCTATATAATGGACTACTGCACTGCTATTTTACCATTTGCAACAGCATGTATGAAACTGGAGAGCATTATGCTAAGCAAAATAAGCCAGTCAGAGAAAGATAAATATTACATGACCTCATTCATATCTATACATATATATAAAAGGCTAATATGCAAATTGTCCCCTTGTGAGTTCGACTGGGAGACCAAAAGTTCAATGGCTCGCAGTGACATGTACTGACCACCAGGGGGTGGCATGGAACTAAGGAAGGCCCGGCCAGCCATCTGGCAGCTCGGAAAGAAGACCCCGACTGGCCCTGACTGCCAGCCAGGGAGACCCTACCTGGGCACAGATTTTGTGCACAAGGCCTCTACTGTGGAATATAATGATCAACATAAATTGGATCCAGAGACAAGGTGGTACTAAGCAGACTGTCCAACCTCAGGGAGAAGGTAGGGAACGGGGAGGTTAGAGATCAACCAAAGGACTTGTATGCATGCCTATCAGCATGACCAATGGACACAGACACTGGGGCGGTGGGGGCTTGCCTTCGAGGGCAGGAGTGGCCAAGGGGGTTAATGGGGGGGGGATGTGAAAGGAGACATGTAATATTTTAAATAAAAAATAAAAATAAATGTATGTTGATTTAAAGTTTTCTGAGTGAAATATAGGAAATGTATACACAATTCAGATTTTTAAGTCTTACAGGTAGGTCTTAAACACACTATGTATCTCCTTCATTTCTGTTATATATTTAACCCGAGAATTATTTTTTTTTATTTTTTTTAATTTTTTTTGCCAATCTGTAGGTGCACTGGCACACTTCTCTGAAAGGACCTTGGCAAAAATAAATATGCTAATTTAACGCAGACTAATGGTAAGGACAGTGGGGGTGAAAAAGTGAATTTTAAAATCTTTGCAAAATTTCATTTCCCAGAAGACATAATAAAAAACTATGTCACTTGTATAAATTCAGAATATCTTTTTTATAGAAAAATTATACATGCATTTGTGCATAACTCTTAGGAAAAGTAAACTGTAGCTGCCTTGGAGAAGAGCCTCATTCACAGAAGTTTCACCAACACTCCAGAGACAAGAGAGGGTCTGCGACATCTGAAAAAGAAATTCCAAGTCTCCATGAGGTCGACATTAGTAATGAGAGATGAGGAAATGTCAAGGTGGTTGTGGAAGCGGGGAACTCAGTCTCAACATCCCTGAGAGAAGAGCCCCAAAGAGATTCCAGCTGCAGAAAGTAACATCACGGCAAAGGACTGCTTTCATCAGTACGATAAACACCAGAGGAACATACTTCTTCCCAGGGCTGTTTATACATTCAGCACACTGTAGACAGTGGAGGAAATGGATTTTGTTTGCTAACAACTAGCTTCTGATGCTGATGTGATATATAGCCTTTGATGTGACCCTGTAAGGAGAAAAACAGAGGGTTAGTTTACCTTCCTGAGTCACATCACTGATGTTGAGTTAATTACTTATTCTTGTGGCATAAGCATTCTTTGCCAATCATAGTGCAATTCAAGTCATTGGGAGAACAATAAATAAAGTCATATGTAGAGAATACAGAAATATATATTATATCCACCAACCCACACCCTCTAGTATAAAGCCCTTTGATCACCATGGCATTTCCTGGGATACAATTAATTCTATCAGAAAATACCTTTACAAAGGAAAAGGGTCTGATAACAACTTTATAAAGGGTCTGACAGTGCATCAAAGCTTCACATTCTAGACCAGCGATCACCAACCAGTGATCTGTGGACCACTGGAGGCCATGAGGTCTGAAAGGTTGGTGACCACTGGTTTAAGGAAACCTTTGGAGCAGCAGTTGCCAACCTGTGGTCCACAGACCACTGGTAGTCCATGAGTTCCGAAAAGTTGGAGACCGCTGATCTAGACAAGTCCTAACCTGAACCAAGGAGCTCACGCACCATGTATATCAGGTTGGCCAAAATACACTGGACTTCATCGATGTCCACGTCTTCCACTTGCATGAATTTCAAAGCAACTAGAAAAGCATCCAGAGATAACTGGTGTGTTTTGAGTAACAAGTACCTAAAAGAGGGAAACAGAGATTCACACTAGTTACCAACAGGATGCAAGTACTTCAAAAGTAAGAAAAGGAGCACTGACTGAGTCAGTAGAAAACACATCTTCTAAACACTGTTCAAAACAAATAAAAATCATCTTCCACCTATTAAGTACACTCTAAAAATAAGAACTATTAAATATAATTTTGTTTTCTCAATTTAAAAAAGCCACTAGTACAAGTATAATTTTTTATATTTACTGAATATTTCATGGAATCTAAGATGCAGGCATTTTTACATTGTACTATCTCTGAAATCTTAAAATGGATTCTATGAAATATGGTCCTTGCCATTTTTTATGCACTACCTACAGCCATAAAAAGTCTGCCTTTGTTTGATGTTTCATTAACTGAGATCCTGTTGGGATCAGGCCTTGAAGAAGAATCAACTTCCAGTGTTACATGGATGAAAACAAACAACTGCAGAAGAATTAAACTTTCTGACTGACAGGAGTGGCAGGAAGAGGTTTAGTTAATCATGAATAAAGAAAATGAATAACTCTGTCCCACATACTCTGATAAAATGTGAAATATTTTATTCTTAGGGCTGAAGTTTTAAAATATCTATTGCATGCCGAAACCGGTTTGGCTCAGTGGATAGAGCGTCGGCTTGCGGACTGGAAGGTCCCGGGTTCGATTCCGGTCAAGGGCATGTACCTTGGTTGCGGGCACATCCCCAGTAGGGTGTGTGCAGGAAGTAGCTGATCGATGATTCTCTCTCATCGATGTTTCTAACTCTCTATCCCTCTCTCTTTCTCTCTGTGAAAAATCAATAAAATATATATATATTTTAAAAAATCAATAAAATATACAAAAAATAAATAAATAAAAATAAAATATCTATTGCAAAGTTCTCTTATCATACATATCCCGAGTTACCACTCCCACGGTGAGCTTTGCTCACTCACTGTGCGGCACCAATACCTAGAGGCAGTGGGCTGGCCAGGGAATTTTCACTTTATTCTGCACATTTAAAGGAAAAGTGATGGGACCTTGATTACACAGACTGACCTCTCTATCTCAAAAGACACAGCACCTGTTATTGTAAATTTTCTTAACCTGGCAACTCTACTACATGAGTCATAGAAAAAGTTTAAACTTATTAGAAAAACACTTTGCTTACACTTTCTTAAAAAGATTCCTGTAGGTGATGATCTTCAGCTTTTCAAGGATAAGGAAGATGCCACAGCGAATAAAGAAGGTCTCATGCTTCACTAGAGCCTCGTTCAGAAGGAGGAGATTGCCTTCACTGAGTGACAGAGGGAAGATGAGCAAGCACGGTCACAAAACAAAACCCAGGAAGAGAGCACATTAACAATTGGCTGACCATGTGTGGATTTTTTTTTATTAATTTTGTATTTTAAAAAATCCTAAATGGAAAAGAATAAAATACTCTACCTTACAGCTTTGGTTACTTCAGCAAACTGCATGAGATGATACTTTTTCAAAAGCTCAATGGTTGGCATATGACCCTAAGACAAAGAGTTAATTTTCCAGAATAAGAGCCCTTTCATTTTTTAACAGAATTTGGTTTTTTTGTTGTTTGTTTTTTTAAACAGAATTGTTTTGATACAATTCTTATCGGGAACTAAGTTTTAAAAACTTACAAACTTGTACTTCTTAGAATTTCTTCTTAAGTAGCTGAATAAGAATTAAAAACATCATAGTATGCATGGGGGGAAAACTGGTCTAGAAATTAAAAAACCTTAATATAGTTGTGTCATTCAGTTACATATAACCTTGATCTTGACCTTCCCATGTCTCTTGTCCTTAATATCATAAGAGTGAAGTGATAACTGAAGAAATTTTTAAATTCAGATTTAGAAATACAGACACAATCTCTGGAAGAATAAAGCTAAAAAAAAAATTATCCTCTTTGCCTCTGTGAAGAATAGTTAGAAATAGAAAGGGGTATGTACAACATTGTACCTTTGCCATTGCAAGTTATGCTGAACTAAAAAAATTTAACCAAATGTGTACATTGCTTTGGTAAATCTTTAGGAAATGTTAAATGGGAAGACAGAAAGGTCTATCTATCACTTTGAGAATGTTTTGCTAGCCTATTAACATATTAGTTATTTGTCACTGTTAAGTAAAATAACTTTTGGCGATCAAATGAAACACCTACTAGAATGACATTAGGCTAGAATGACATTTTTCATTCTTGGCTAATCCATTTCTATTAATGTAGATTTTTTGTGGGGGAATAGAAATAATATGAACTTATTTTATTTGTCCTATATTACGTTCAATTTTTTAATTAAATACTTTAAATAGGAAGGAAACAAACAAAGCCTTTAAAGAAGGATGTGGAAGTGTCAATCATGAAGATACATAGTTTAAGCTACACACAAAGCTATCTTCCTCTATTTTGGGGTGGGCCCATATGCAGCTCAGGTTGTGATCAACTACATACCATCTGGGGTATTTTTAAAAGTCTATAAACTTCTTGAAAGCAAAAGGCTCTGTAAGAACTGAATAACTCACCAATAGCATTTTTACTGGAAGTAAATATATCAAAATCATCCTTTTGTTCTTCTGACTTAAACGGTGACAGTGCTCAAAGGCAAAGGACAGGTACTCCTCAGCTGCAGAGACATCGGCAAAAATCAGACCAGAGCATCTTTTAAAATACTAAGCTACTGAAGTTCCCTCTCTGCTCTTTATCCTGCCATTTATCCTTACACAAAGGTTCTAAAGTTTTCAGAAACTATAAATGTCTACCATTAATACTAATAAATCATTTCTTGCTGTTGGATATTAAAAACACTCTATGAACCTTCATGTAGCAAAGAATTATCAATGCCTTAATAGATTTGAATATAATTTAAAAGCTTTTCTTCTTATGCTTCATAATTTAAGAAAAAAAGCAGTGATGAAGAATAATCAAGGAAAGCTCATTTTCAAAAGCTCTATATCTATGAAAATTTTTTGTGAAAGAAAATTTGAAATTGGTCTATATATGCCTATGGAATAAAAAATAAGATGAAAGAGCTATTATTTATGTTATCAGAGAATCCAGGGCTATAAGACATGGGGAGAGAAAGTGATTTTATATATCTTATATTGCCTGATGTTATGTTATTTCACAAGCAAACAGCAGTTGGAGAGGTGAGTTAAAAAGTCTAGTCTGAGTACATAAAGAAGTTATAAAGAACCACCTCATGCCAGCTAATCAAAAAGTTTAAAAAGAAAAAAAAACTGGCATCAGCCGAAGCCGGCTTGGCTCAGTGGTAGAGTCAGTCTGCGCGGACTGAAGGGTCCCAGGTTCGATTCCGGTCAAGGGCATGTACATTGGTTGCGGGCACATCCCCGGTAGGGGGTGTGAAGGAGGCGGCTGGTCGATGTTTCTCTCTCATCGATGTTTCTAGCTCTCTATCTATCTCCTTCCTCTCTGTAAAAAAATCAATTAAAAAATATAAATATATATATATTAAAAAACTGGCATCATGTTCTTGAGAAAGTTAATGATATAAATTGCACAATAATGCAATTTCACGAGAGTGCCATTCTGATGTGGTAACGACACCATCGCCTATGGCCACAAACACCAAAGACACTAGAACAAGGACACATTCCCACTGCTCACCGGGCATTCCAGGTGGGATTTCTAAGCAGCAAGTTGGCAGCTGTGCTACCTGCTGCCCCAGTCTCCATGTCCTGTGCCAGAATGATCAGCACAGGCAAAGGGAGAAAAACAATTATTTTTATCAAATGCCAAGAATAATGGAGAGTCTGCATGTATTTCAGAGACCCAGCATGGATTAAAAAACATCAAATACAATTTCCCTTTTATTTAACCAATTTCAGTGTCAAAAATAAACAAACAAAAAAATAACTTGAACTTGGTTTATACCTACATTCCACTTAAATAATAATAAATTGCAATAATTGTGTATATCACAGAGTTGTTCAGAATGCAATGGCTTTAAAATGCTAAAAAAAAAAAAAAAAAAAAAAAAAAAAAAAAAAAAGGATTAACAACATACCTTGCTTAAAGTCACTATCGAACATGGCCTTTCGTCCAACATAGTACCTGTATGTTACTCTCTGTGCTGTGCTATAATCATCTTTCAGGTTTGAGCTGTCAATGGCTCTGATGAGAGGTTTACACAAATGGAGTTTGTTGATCTACAACAAATTACAATCCACTAAAAATATTATTTTTTAAAAAGGCAGGATCTACTTAAACTTCTACTTTACTAAGCATATGTACCCTTAAAGTGGGAATTATAAAAACCATTACCATCATCAAAATTAATCATATAATTCTAAAATCAAAAGAGAAGTCATATGGCACAGATTACATCCACTGGAGAAAGCCCTAAGAAGAACATCAGGCAGAGGTGCTTCCAGGGCAGATGTTCCCTCCGAATGAAGGACCTCCCCCAGCCCCCCCCCCCCCCCCCCGCTCCCCCAGGGGCCAGGGGCCAGCCGCTGGTGTGTGACATAACTAACTGCTCTCCACCTGGACAACTTCACGTACCAAAGAATGCTTTCTTTGCCCATTCACAGGCCAACTGTAGTTAATCACTAGGACAGCTGGCAGAAGGCTCTGGAGTGAAACTCCTCACTGAAAGCCCAGCTCAGCACACCGGCACACACCGCTTAACATGCGGGCACCTTAGTTACCCCTGGAGCTAAAAGCTTACCTCATAGGGCTGATGTTTAAATAAGACACTTCTTACAATAGTGCCTTGCTCTTAGCAGGCACTCAACAAATGTTAGCTCTGAGGATTACAAATAGGGCTAGGTGATGACCATTTCCCAAGCAATGCCAGGGGAGCTAGCTGATAATTAATAGAAATGGTATTTGGGAAGACAGGAGAGAGAAATTTATACACCATTCAAACAGAAGCATACCTTAAAGTAAATCTTGAATAACTGATTCACCAGAAACAGCATCCCCCACTTCTTAGAATCCTCTATACCAGCACGACTATGGGGGAAAAATTTTTATCCAGTTACATAGGAAATAAGCATTATATTTATAAATCACAAAATAAACTGTCTAAACAAATTGATATGTTGAGATAAAGTCTTACAAATAAAACATTTGAAAGAAGATGTCTTATCTAATAGGTAAGACTGAAGAGTCCAAACCAGGAATTCTAATCCCAGTTAAATATTAGGTAATACCCTCCCTCTGCTGCAGCACCTAAAAACCGCCTAGTTTGGCCAAAACCGGTTTGGCTCAGTGGATAGAGCGTCGGCCTAAGGACTGAAAGGTCCCGGATTCAATTCCGGTCGGGGTATGTATCTTGGTTGCGGGCACATTCTCCCCCCCCCCCCCCCGCCCCTTCTGGGGAGGTGGGGGTGCAAGAGGCAGCTGATCGATGACTCTCTCTCATTGACATTTCTAACTCTGTCCCTCTCTTCCTCTCTATAAAAAAATCAACAAAATATATGAAACACACACACACACACACACACAAAAAAAAAAACCTGCCTAATTTGCAGCAATAGTATGTAAAAGCTAATAGTTATAAAGCATTTTATAGTTTTTCATTTTTTTGGTAGTGTCCTTTAAAGCACAAAACTTTTTTTTATTATGATGAAGATCAATTTATCTGTTTTTCCTTCAGGTGCTTGTGCTTTTGGTTTCACAGCTAAGAAAACCATTGCCAAACCAACTAAGGTCATGAAGATCACTGCTCTGCAGAAACACATAATCAAACAGAAGTCCAAGTATCCATGTAATCAGTATTTCCTGAGGGCTACCTCAGTGTGAGAGACACGCTGTGAAAACCGCATACATGCCCTCACGGACTTTGAAATCAAACAAACATCATCCAAATAATTATTTTTGGTGAGTGTAGTGAACACAATGTACCGTCTGTCACGAAAGTTTATGAAAGGAGACTCTCATCTTCTTGGATGTTCGGTGATGAGGGGTATTAGAGGCTGAAAGCTGTGACATAAGCAGACAACCAGATGAGAAGCTGGGAAGACATGCCAGGCAAAGGAATGGCATGTGTGGAGAGCTTAGTGGGGAAGTAGTGGGAGGAACTGCTGTAAGTCAGCTTGAGTGGGATGTTTTGAGGTGGGGATGGTATGGGCAGAGTTGGTGAGAAATGAGAAACTGAAACACTATTCTGGGGAAAAGAGACTTTGTTTATTTACACATGGAAAGCTTTTCCTTTCTTTGCTTTAAAATATCCTAAAACTCAATTAAACATAGCTTTATAATGGGTGAAGAGATGGAGTTTCAGGAGAAAAATGGAAACTCTAAAGTAGAATCAGATGGAAAGTCTAGAAGCAAAAATTAAATAGTGGCCCTAGCTAGTTTGGCTCAATAGATAGAATGTGGGCCTATGGACTGAAGGGTACTGGGTTCAATTCTGGTCAGGGGCACATGCCGGGGTTGCGGGCTCAATCCCCAATAGGAGGCGTGCTGGAGGCAGCCAAGCATTGACCCTCTCAAACAAATCATTGATGTTTCTATCTCTCTCTCCCTCTCCCTTCCTCTTTGAGAACAATAAAAAGATACTTTAAAATAAATAGATAGATAGTGGCTAAAAAGAACAGTCAACTTTAGGCCAGGTCAATATAAATTACCCAAAATAAAAGAGAGAAAAAAGATTGAAAAACATACAGTACTGATGTACCCTGTGGAATAATATCATGTAGTATAATGTCCATGTAACTGGAGCCCCAGAAAGAAAAGAGAAAGAATGAGAGAAAGCAAAAGTAGTTGAAGAACATAAAAAAATAAATTTTAAAAAATCTAGTAAAAAACATTAACTTAAGCTGGGACCGGTTTGGCTCAATGGATAGGGCGTCGGCTTGGGGACTGAAGGGTCCTGGGTTCGATTCCGGTCAAGGGCATGTACCTTGGCTGCGGGCAGATCCCTAATAGGGGGTCTGCAAGAGGCAGCTGATCGATGACTCTCTCATCGATGTTTCTAACTCTCTGTCTCTCTCCCTTCCTCTCTGTACAAAATCAATAAAATATTTTTTTAAAAAAACAAAAAAAAAACATTAACTTAAAATCCAAGATGCCCAATGAAACATAAACAAGAAAAACAGGAAAATACATAGGTAGCCTGGCCAGGTGGTTCAGTTGATTGGAGTGTAGTCCCACACACCAAAAGGCTATGGGTTCAATCCCCGATTGGGGTATAAATGGGAGTCAGCTGATTGATGTTTCTCTCTCAACTCTAACCCTCGCTTTCTAAAAATCAATAAAAACATATCAATGAGTAAGGATTAAAAAACAACAAGGTGGGTACATCAGGGTCAAACTACTGAAAGCCAGAAAGAAGTAAAGAGAAAAAAAGGCAAAGGAAAGAGTCACTACATACCAACAAACAACAATAAGAATAACAACTGACTTTTTATCAGAAACATATAATAGAAATGCTGATGAAATGACATTTTAAAGTCTTAAAGAAAAAAAAGTCCAATCTAGAATACTCAACCTAGCAAAAGGATCCTTCAAAAATGAAGATAGAATAAAAAATTTCAGAAAAAAGAAAGCTTAGAAAATTCATTGTCAGCAGATCAACACTAAAAGCAAACTGCTAAATCAAAGTCTCAGAGTAAAGAGAAATGGTAGCAGATAGAAACTCAGATCTATAGGAAGGATTAAAGAACTCAAATGGCAAATATGTGAGTAAGCATAAAAGACTATTTTTCTTTTTTCTTACTTCTTTACTAAACAATTGACTGTTAAAAGCAAAAATAAAATGACTGTGGGGTTACACATATGTAGAAATAAAATCAATGTCAACAACAGATAAAAGGCAGGGAAGGGGCAATGCATTATGATAGGAGACTGATAATATCTGTCTCCAAAACCTTACTCACGTGTCACTGGCACAGACTCGGAAACAGCTCATCAACAACTCAGCTGCTTTTTCCAACATGTCCCCAACTTTGCTTTTTCCTTTCTTAACCAACTGCTGATCTGCCTAACAGAATATAAAACATTTACTTTTTATTTCTGCTAGATTCCTTAACTAAAAAATAAAATCACAGTGCAGTTAGAAGCAAAAAAAAAAAAAAAAAAAAAAAAGTTACAACTAAGAGTCAAAGTCCCAAAAGGTTCTGACGAAATCTAGAAATTGTAGATTAGACCACCTCTTCCACAAATCAAATTTCCTTTCAACCAATTCAAGCTAAGTCAACCAAGTTTTTAAACCATTGCATGTAGGCATGCACTGCTAAGAAGCCTTTTGTTCCCTCATTACTGACTTTCCCATCTCTTACACACAGCTATTAAAAACCCTTGAAACACACACTTTCAATAAATATCAAAGTCGTTACCACGTTTGACCTCTTCCTTGCTTTCAGGATAGTCTTCGTTAAAAAAGAATCAGTTTTCTCCCACTCATACTCTCCCTATCACAGGTTCTCAATGTGTCATTTATGAATTCCTAAGGGCTTACAAGATGCCTGTAGATAACTCATATGGTTAAACTACTTTCATGATAATACTAAATTAAATTATTATTTCTTCTTATTGTATTGATGTGTGCAGTTTTCACTGATGGTGCAAAAACAATAGTAGGTGAAACCACTGGAGCATCATGCATCTACAATCTATCCATCAGTCAATCAACAAAGCTAATTTCACTTTAAAATGTCCTTAATGATGCAGTATCATTAAGTCTTGGTCCTTGAATACATACATTTTTAATGTTATTTGTGATGAAATGGGAAATAGATTCGAAGTATGTCTGTCCCACACCAAAGTATGATGGTTGTTTTAAGGCAGTGGTTTTCAACCTTTCCAATGCCTCGACCCTTTAATACAGTTCCTCATGTTGTGGTGACCCCCAACCATAAAATTTTTTGTTGCTATTTCATAACTGTAATTTTGCCATTGTTAAGAATTGTAATGTAAATATCTGTGTTTTCCGAAGGTCTTAGGCGACCCTGCTAGCGGTTCTCAACTTGAGGGATGTGACGAAAATAATTTTATGGTTGGGGGTCACCACAACGTGAGGAACTGTATTAAAAGGTCCTGGCATTAGAAAGGTTGGGAACCACCGTTTTAAGGAAAGCACTTAGGCACTGTTGAAATTGCCAGCTGCTCCATGGAACTGACAGACAAGCAGTGTAATTCAGATGTGCTTTAAAGTGAATGAAAGAAGCCTGTTACTTCCAAGAAACAACTGACAGTATTTGTTACCAATGGCAATATTTGTGCTTTCAAGGGAAAAATAAGAATTTTGGAAAGCTTGTATGGACCACCATGAATTTGGCAGCTTTCCATTACTTCTAGAGTCTTCTGATGAGGTCACTGTAGATATTAACAAATGTAGTTTTTCTGGTTTTGTTTTTTTATATAACGAAATGTATCAATAGTGGGAACATCTCATAACTCAATTAACTAATAAAAGTTTCCAAATGTTCAATGTATGTTACAAAACCATGCAAGGGTAAAAGATCCATTCAAAGTGCATGACTCCCCAGTGGATTCTGATGTAACAGTGGAAAAAGTTCACTGCTATGCTTCAGAACCCACACTGTAACTAGCCTGTAAAAAGTAGCTTTTAGAGTTTTGATACAGCTTAAAGAGTACCTACAATTATCTAAAAAGACTACTAAAATACTCCTCCCTACTCCATTTACTTTTATGTGAGGCCAGACTGTCTTCATATATTCAACCAAAACAACATATTGCAACAGAGTAAACACAGAAGCGGAAATGAGAATCTGGGTGGCTTCTGTTATACTTGACATTAAAGTTTAAACTGCAAAATAATACCATTCTTCTTAGTACTTTTTATTCATTCTAAAAATAGTTATTTTTTTTGTTTAAAAGTTAATTATGTTACCATGTAAAAGTTTTATTACTTTATTTTTTCATCTTTATTGTTGAAAGTACTACATGTCCTTTTCCCCCCATTAGATCACTATAGATATGCACCTGCCCTATCATTTTATTTCTTTAAATG